TCTGATTTACTGTCACTGCTATCACTGCTGTCACTACTATCACTGCTGTCACTGCTGTCTGATTTACTGTCACTGCTATCACTGCTGTCACTACTATCACTGCTGTCATTGCTGTCACTGCTGTCAGACTTGCTGTCACTACTATCACTGCTGTCACTACTATCGCTGCTGTCGCTGCTGTCACTGCTGTCACTACTGTCACTGCTGTCACTACTATCACTGCTGTCTGACTTGCTGTCACTACTATCGCTGCTGTCACTGCTGTCTGATTTACTGTTACTGCTATCACTGCTGTCACTACTATCACTGTTGTCATTGCTGTCACTGCTGTCGGACTTGCTGTCACTACTATCGCTACTGTCACTACTATCGCTGCTGTCACTATCACTGCTATCACTACTGTCACTATCGCTGCTGTCACTGCTGTCACTGCCATCTGATTTGCTGTCACTGTTATTTGACTTATCTTTGCTGCTATCTGATTTGCCATTGTCATGGCTGCCATTGTTGCCATTGCCATTACTGTCACTATCATTAGCATCAGATGTGCTTTCACTGTTATTATCATCTCCTCCATTTGAGTCACTATCATTGCCATTATCTTTTGATTCATCAGAGTTATGAGAAGTATCTTCTTGGCTACTGCTGTCATTATTTTCAGAATTGGTATCATCATGGCCATTAGACTCATCACTACTATTGGGATCATCTCCTTGCATGGATTCATCGTCAAACTCATAACTGTCATATCCAATACTACTACTGGCACTACCTGCTTTGCTGTGTCCAGCCATATTTCCAGGTTCTGTTTTCGGAAGAGGTCCTTGCATGTTGTCATCCTCTCCTTGTGTCCTGACATTTCCTTTGCTGGCAATCAGTCCATGTTGTCCTATACTCCCCCTACCAACGCTGACTTTCCCAGCTTCTTTGGTAATATCATTTCTGTTGCCACTGCTGGGGCCTTTGATTTCTATTCCCTATGGAAGAATAGAAAAAAGAATGATTAGTCAGTAATTATAATGCTGCAAAATTGCATCGGTCTGCATCGGACTGACTGTGAGCAAAGAAAATAATTCAGTTTCAGTCCCTCAGAAATATCTGTGAAAGTATGCTGCTTTCTTCAGTACTTAAGAGGACTTTGAGGGCCCTCCCTGGTGGCACAACAGGTTAGGACGCAGCACTGCAAGCTAGCCACAGAGGCTTCAATGTGAGTTTGATCTCCCACCCCGGAGGTGATCCACATGGCACAGCAAACTCTCCTGACCCACCCGCTGCTCCCCTCAGCAGTGTACTTGGTCAATCTGCCTGTTCTGCTCCCCACTCTGTCTCTGGTGAAGCCTCTCACTGTACCTCTGGCTTGTACCCCAGTTCTGTATGAATAAATAAATAAATCTTTTTTAAAAAAAAAAAAAAAAAAATGCAAAAAAAACAAGAATAAAAAAAAAAAATAAGAAATTCCTAAAAAAAAAAAAGGACTCTGAGCTTTACATTATATAACCATACATTTTTACCCAATAGGAATTTTTGTAAACAGTCACATGTCTCATCAATTATTTAACATAAGATTTTTCTAGAATTAAAAAATTTTCTGAAATGTCTACTTTCCAAAATTGTTCCATATCAAAGTTCAGTAAGGACTCTATGTTTTGCATTAAATATTCAAATAATCTAGGAGCAAAAATACACAGATGTATGTCATAATTTGTTGTGTGCTACCATCGTGGAAGGACTGGGGAAGAGTGGAGAATTGAAACGCCCATGAAAGAAATCAACTTCACAGACAAACCTTATCTTGGCTCTTCCCAGTAGTACTTGGCTCTAATTCTTGGGTGAGTCCACTGTCCAAACCTGGGCTTTCCCTGTGCCTGGGTTTGGGAGTGTCTGCTATTCTTTTACTGTCCTTGTCCTCTGGAATGCTGTCAGAATCCTCCTCACTCTCGGAGGCTTGTTCTCCATCTTTGTCATGAGGTTCTTCTTTGGGCTTAAGGTCATCATCTTCACTACTCATTGAATTTTGACCTAAGCTGTTGTCACTGTTTTCTTCATGCCCCTGCCCATCCTGGCCTCTGCCATGATCAGAGCCTTCTTTTCCACCTCCTGTTTCCTCATCTGCGTTATCACCAGAGCCTTTGTCTTCATCCTCACCTGCTCCATCCCCACTGGGACTTCCATCAGAATTATCCAGCTCAGCATCTTGTCTATTGCCAGCTCCACTTGCCCCTGGTGTTAATCCTGTCTCACTCCCATTCCCCTCACCTTCTCTCTGAGGTGATATTTCACTTGTATTTCCCTCATTTCTACAGAAATTCTCATTTATTTTATCCTCAGGGTCTGTACTATTATTGCTTCCAGATACTTGATGAACATCTTGGACAACAGTGGCATCCTCACTCTTACTTATGTCTCCAGCATCACCAATTTTTGAATTCTTGTCTGCATTTCCATTGACATTGATCCCATTTGCTGCTCTAACTGTGTCAGTGACACTTATGTGTCCCCTGATGCTTTTAACGGTGGTGCTCTCTTCTTGTCTCTGTAGCCCATCATGGCCATATGTTTCTGATTTTCCTGTGCCCCCTTTTTGATCCTCAGTATTCCCCACTTCATTTGTAGAAGAAACATTCCCTCCTACTTCTACCCCCTCAGAGCCATTCCTCTCTCGTCTGTAGCCATCTCTAATACACTGTGGCTTTTCTCTATCAAGTATAGAGATGCTTTCTTTGGTAGTGTCATTGGCATGTAATTCATTCTGAAAAATAAATAAATAAAAATAAATTGTAAAACTGGCTTGAGGTAAAGCAATCTCAGAACATGAGCATCAATTTCTTTAATTAATAAACTTTTTAAAACAATTTATGTCACCTTTATATCCTATACCTGTATTGACACTTTTGATTTTGCTAGAAGATCTAAATTCTCAGATTTGTCAGCAGTATGTCTCTCCAATGTCTTGATTTGAGGAACCTAGCAAAGTGAAATACTGGAAATTACAAACATTCTTATTTTGGATACTCACACACACACACACACACACACACACACACACTCACACTCACTCACTCACTTACACACTATCCTTAAATGAAGAGGAACAGATAAAACACAAAAGCTAAATAAAGTAAGTAGAAAAAGAGAAGAGGTTTGTTACAGAGCTTGTGAGTTAAATAAACATGCAAATATTTTTCATAATTCTGTTATCACTATTATGAAGTATTAACCAGACCTCTTAAATATATAAGGGGAACCAGGTGTTAGATAGACAGAGAGAGAACTGTAGTGTTTCTATTCAACAAGCCTCTTGGTATAGCACAATATCCACCTTAAATATAATTCTGACCAAAACCCCTCAGAAAATAAAAAGTATAATCAGAACTAGTGTGGAAGCAAATTCAAGTAAGAAGCTACTTGTGTACCCTTCAGGAGAATATTTGAAATAGTTGAGAAAATTCTGGACAATATAAATAACAAGTTTTTTTTTTGTATTACACAAAATGTATCAAAATATTAATCATAGTGCCTGGCTAATAAAACTACAAATGAAAAATAAATAAATAAAATTACAAATGGTTTGATTTTCCTTTATACTTATCTGTATATTCCAAATTTTCCACAGTAAGCATCTTTTAAAAACCCTCTGAGTGACACACTAGTTTTCTTCCAAAGTAAAAATAAAAAAAAAAAATCCCATTTTTCCTATTTTTCTTTACTGAAACTTTCTGAGCTCTATAAAGTTTAGGGATTATTTTATTTTTAGGATGAAATTCACAGGCATTAAGTAAAGATAGGTGAGATCGCCTAGACTTCTAGGCATTGAACATAAATTAATCTGAACAAATTTTTAAAATAATAATCTTCCTGACAAGATATGAGTTTGTATTAGAGAGGTGAGAGCATAAATTTGTATTGCATATTTGATTGTGTTGAGACCCCAAAGGCAGATTCAAGTGTTTGGACTCAGGTTACCTACATAGTCTTAAGGAAACATAGTTATTTAATATCAGGTTTTAAAAGTCAGCAAAGTAGGCAGGTTTTCTGAGGAAGACATACTTACTGGAATGGCCCACGCTGCCACCCAAATGCAAAAATATATAATAATCTTCATTTTCTCTTGAACTCAACAGCTGGTTAAAAAAAAATAATTAAAAAATTATGTAACAAAAATGGTAATTTCAGCAGTATATTATTTGGTCTGTAAACATTTGTCATTTTCCTGGGTAATGAATATAGACAAAAATGAGAAGTCTATTAAGACTCAATATTCTAGAACATTCCTGGAGTGACAATGATACTTGAGAAGGTATTATCAGACTCAACAATGATATAACTCTGGGATTTTTCTGCCTATGCCAATGAAGGAGCACATACACCCATTATTAAAAAGGATATAGCCACTACTTTATCTTATGATTGCTCTTGATGGTAAAAATATGTCTTCTGAACAGAATCAATCAACTATTATCTCTGCTAAGATTGTGTTTAGAAGATATAGTATTTAATACCTCCACCCAAATAGCTATTATTGGACTATCCCAGACTGTAAGGGAAATGAATCACCAACAAGAGGAAGCTTAGCCCTGTGGAAAGATCCTGGAGTTTGGATTTAGAGATCTTGGCTCACTACTACTTAGGTGTGAATTTGAGAAATTTAAGTAGATCATTATTAAGCCTTTCTTTCCTCCATATGAGATTTAAGAAAAAAAAAAACCTACTTCAGATTATCCCAATATCTTAGCAGAAAAATCTTCTCTAAGAAGCTTTCTGTGATGTTTCCAAAGGACATTGGTGTCTCTCTCCTTATATACCTAGCAACTTCTTCACACTGACTAGTACCATCATGTACTGTTTTAAAATAGTTTATTCCCCACTGCTATTATGAGTCTCTGAGAGCCAAGAGAATGTCTTGATAACTATTGTATCCCAAAACGTACAGAAAAAGACATTTGAGAATGCTGTTAATGAAAAAATACTCATGTACAAACAAAACCCAGCACTATTCTGTTTATTTAGTGATCTCTTAGTGTTAAAATTTATTATTACTTTGAGAAACATCATCCCTATTATCATTCACATTCAGAAATAATATAATATATGCTATTTACATATGTACATACATACATATATATATATATATAATGGAATACTACTCAGTAATCAAAAAATATAAATTCAGGCCACCTGCAGCAACATGGATGGAACTGGACAGGATTATGCTAAATGAAATACGTCAGAAAGAAAAGATAAGTATCAGATGGTCTTACTTATAAGCAGAACACAGAAAGCAAACAAAGAATAAAGAAAAAGACAAAGCTGACAAAATAACTATAGATCTGAGGCATATAGCAGGGGCGGGAAGAGAACAAGGGGCTGTGGCGATGGATTATGGGTGATGTGGTGGCGGGTGAACTACAGAGACTAAACATGAGAGGAGAATGCAAATACTGTCCAAAATATAGCAAAAATGACAGAAAATAATAGAAAATAAAATAAAACCAATAAAAATAATTAATAGAGTCCATGTGAAAAAAATATTAATTCCTATTTATTGACTTCATCATGTTGTGATGCTACTATAGAAAAGAAGGGTTTTGATGAAATTCCTGTTACATGAACTGCCAAGGGGTTGATAGATTGTAATACTCCAAAATTGTTTTGATTGAATTTAATGTTGGTAAAGAAAGCACAATTAAGCCTCAATAAATATCGACTACCATAAATATATCATATTTTTGATATACCATATCATGAGAAAATATACAAAAATATCTTCCTCACAGAAAAGATGCCAGAGTTCTAGAGATACTAAAAAAGCAGTAGCTTCTCTTGTAGTTATTCAGCAGAATGCCAAGAATAGCTAGACTATCTTCAAAAGTACCATCGATTAAAATGAGGCTGAAATGACGTCAACACAATTATGTAAGGCAGGACTCTTGAGGCACTCAAGTTAAAGGCAGCTGTTTGGTAAGCAGAGTAGCAGGGTTTATATTATGCTTTGCAGCTTGAACCTAATCATTTCAGAGTAGAGCGGTCAACTCTGTGATTTGGAGGTGCCATGGTGTCCTAGAAAGGTACGTATATTGAAAGCGAAGGTTATGTGTGTCCCATTTTTAGACTGCGATCCTGCAGTCTGACCACTTAAGTTAGCTCTCTTCCTGACCCACTCTTGACCCCCACTGCACAACACCTGAGGAAACTTGCGGTCATTTGCAAAGGGAGGTGCAGAGCTCAACAGACTGCTGCAAAGGTGGCCTCAGTTTTTTCAGCCCAGAAGTGGAGGCTTCAGAACTGCATGAACCGCCTTACTACTTCTCACAAGGAAATGTGATTAGCAATTACCTACTTATTTTGGAGAAGAAAAGAATAAAATTGAAAAATAAAGCCAATCAAAGCTCTCTTGGAAAGCCCAAGCTGGATTCTTTAAGAATCTGACTTTTCTAATTGCTTTTAAGGATTAATTTATTTTTGCATACACACCTGGGTACAAGCCAGAGGCGCAGGGACAGTGAGAGGATTCACCAGAGACAGAGTGGGGAGCAGAACAGGCAGACTGACAATGGCGGGTGGGTCAGGAGAGGTCTTCTGAGCCATGTATGCTATCTCCTAGGAGCTCAAAGTCGCACTGCGGGAGGCTGCAGCTGTGCTTTATTTAACCCCTTGCACCACTGGGGAGGGCCACTTTTCTAATTTTTTTAGTTACAACTAAACAAAGTAATGAAATAATTACCAAATTCCCACCAGTTTGCCTATTTTTAGTAGTATCTCTTTTCTTACACCTACTATGGTATTAGAGTAGGGCTGTAACAGAATCTCTAGATATCTTAAGTAGAAGGGTTTTAATATAATTTTCAAAACCTTAATATCAGTTGGAAGAAATGTTACATTTTTAAACCAAAGATTGATTTTTCTTTCTTTTTTTTTTTTAAAGATTTATTTATTTGTGCATACAGAACTGGGGTACAGGCCAGAGGTTCAGGGGCGGTGAGAGGCTTCACCAGAGACAGAGTGAGGAGCAGAACAGGCAGATCGAGGAAGTACACTGCTGAGGGGAGCAGCGGGCGGGTCAGGAGAGGTCTGCCACGCCATGTGGTCTCCTCGGGGCAGGCAGGAATAGAACTCATGCGGAGGCGGCTTTAGATTCTCAGTGCTGTGCTTTAACCCGCTGCGCCACCAGGGAGGACCAAAGATTGATTTTTCAAGGACCAAGAAATTAATGTTAACTGGGATTCATTCATTTATTCAACACACATTTGAGAGCCTAAGATAACCAGACACTGAGCCTAGGGAACAGACACCAGCCCTCCCCACAGAGCCTACCACTGAATAAAATGGTCAGAACTTGAAGTAAATGGAACATAATGTGTTATATCAAATTTCCTAATCCATGTATATTTCTTAATGAATTCAGTGCTAAAAGATGATTATTGTTATATTTGAAAGAGGGTGAGACTGTTTCTTTCCTTTTGTATTAAATTATTTCATTTCATTCCATCTTACTTGGCAGTAGCTAAAAGATGACTTTAAGTAGGGCCTCCCTGGTGGTACAAGGGGCTAAGTCTCAGCACTATGAAACTAGCCACAGTCACTGCAGCACAAGTTCAATCCCAGGTCAGGGAGCTAATCCACACGGTGCAGCAAACCTCTCCTCTCTCAATGGTGGCTCCCCTCAGCAGTGTATTTCAGTAGATACCCCTTTGCTGTTGCCATCTCTGGTGAATCCTCTCACCCCCTGCACCTCTGGCCTATATCCCCATTCTTATATGCATAAATAAAGTTTTTAAATCTTTTTAAAAATTACTTTAAGTAGATTCTAGATTCTTAAGAAATGGTTTTTCTGGAAAAAATAGTGACGGAGATTTAGTGATTTGTTTATAAAATATTCAAAAGACTCATTTGCAGTTACAATTCTAAAACAACAATTCAAATAACTGGTTTGTCCACATATACTTTTTGTGACCTTTGGCAACTGATATTTTAACATACTGCCTATGTTACAAAATGTATTTGTTTAGCAATGCAATATTTTGCTAGATGGAAGGAACAGTTTTTACCACATAATTTTCCATTATCTTTGTATACATGATTTGACAAGTCAAATGGGAAAAACTCTAGTTATAAAGAGTTAATTCACTTCTCAAAATCTAGTCAAATCTGAAATTCAAATTTCTTTAGAAATGAATCAGTTGGTTCTGAGTAGTGAGGATGTTCTCTTACCTTAAAAGCCTTCAAGGGGACTTTGAAAATCCAGGATTTCTTGTTTTTCTTTTTGAAGACAGAGTGGTACACTGTCCTGGACTTTTGCATGACAATTTTGTACCTGCCCAAATTTAAACTCAGTTTGATAATTTTCTCAACCAATCACTGTTTCGGATCCCTGATATGGGGTTATAAAGTGTCCCTGTGTCTATGAAGCACATAATAACTTCCCTCACTTCCTTCACTTGCTGATATGTATTTGCTCACTGAACCATCCAGTTCCAAAGAGATGAGACTGACTTTCACTTAATTAAATACCTCCTGGCAGGCTGTTTTGCATCTTAAATATAGAGAATCAGTGTAATATATCTGAAAAGAGCCACTTAACTCTGTCACCCTGGCATTTCTTGCCTTACTAAGGTTGGCAATCTAAGAAAACTCTAGGTTTCTTTAGTAAATATGACTGCCTATTTAAGACCCCTGTCATTCTTAAAGTAGGTATTAAAGTGCCTGTGCTATAATTCTAGAAACTGTCCACATGCAGTAGCCTTCATATTGCCTTAACAATCTGTAAATAGTAACTACCCTGAAATCTCTCTGACTTAAATAGTAATGTAAAGCTTAAAAATGACTCAGTTTAGTATTTATTATCAAGTTTAATTTTAAAAATAGATACTCAAAATAAAAACTTACTTTAAGGTAACTAGATGTGCAAAGATGTGTGTGAACAATAGATTTAGCCCTCAGTCATCTCAGTTATTTGAGTCACTAGTGGAGGACAAAATAGAAAACCAAACTGTGTTTCTAGCAGAAACTTCTATTATCTAAACTTGTGTGCTTTCATACCTGATGTCTGCTCTAAGCAGTTCATCTGTACACCATTTTTCATTTGTGGTATCAAAAACTTGACAA